ATGTTTAAATTCAATCGCTGTTATCGTATTGAACAGGCTAAATCCGGTGCACTTTAAGATTGAACAACGTTTGAAATACGCATCGCTAGCAAACGAAGTGCAGCTAATTAATACTCCAAATTTCTAAGTAAGAACCGATTGAACTTACTCTAGCAGAACTGAGTTCGAGAGAAAAATGATCTCTCAGCCATAAAAATTAATGTTTTTGGTGCTTGGTGGCCACAGCGCTGTGCAAATTTATGGAAGACTGGTGAACTTATTAGACAAGGAGGACTCAAGCCAAATGATACTACGTGAACAATGACACGTTTCAAGAAGGAAAATTAGAATGTTGAAAACCAGCGAGGAAATGATCAGATGCGGGGGCCTGATTGAAAAAAACGCATTGCTGCAATCAAGCAGACTATCCACGAACGCAAAGTTTGGAGTCTAAGGATTCGTCAACTAAAACTGGCATTTCACGTGCAACATGTAGAAAGTTATAACCCAAAGACCTAAGTTGCCGAAACTGAGTAGAAAATGAACCCTCCAGAAATTGATCCTAAACTACTTGGAAATGCATGCGGTGTTTTCCACGTGTTATTTTCTAAACCTTAATTACCAAAGAAAACCCGCTTGAGACACACGATTAGCATAGATGAAGCATAGTTCAACCTCTACCGCTGCCGTAGAGAGACCGGACTTTCGATGGCAGTGTCGAGTAAGTTCGTGCACAAAATGATAATAGTACTTGCTACAGACATCAGAGGCATTTATTCCTATGAGATATTCGCCGAAAATAAAAAATAAATGCACCCACTATTTCAAGTTCCTCTGGAGACTGATGGACCATTGCCTCGATAACTGAAAGCTCGCAGTCTAGTTAGTTGATGACAAAGATCTTATTGCCATGGCTCAGTTACTTCCTAGATTAAGCAAACGAATATCACACCTTAACATCAGTCCGCTTAGTCTCCCGATTGAAGTATGTGGGACCTAAACAAGACCAGAGATACGCAAGCATATCGCGTTATCGATTTGCTTCAGAAAGTCGTACATAGAAAAATGGAAGCGTGAATGGTAGACGTGTGGTTGTTTACAAGTTGGCCAAGAGCGGTGGGGCAAGCATATAAAAACAATGAATAGTGCCTCTAACACACGCTAAAAAATCATTACTCTAACCCAACGAGTTCGAAGGCTATTCAGTGTTCAAAGTCCGCCGGATTTGCTCCTAACAACCTAGTATACCAGTCAAAGCCTTGCAGCGTTTTTTACTTTTTGTACTAGCAAGCTAATAACTTTAACTTCTTAAAAAAGGTCCTGTTTCGCGTATAATAAATTATATATTTTACCTGTTAATCCATTTAATTCAAGCTTGATAAGATAATTAGTAGATAAACTAATGGCACATTTACTAAGCAAATAGATTTTCATCACATCGTATCTCGATTTATACCGGTTCCTATCCCATTCGTGAAAAATTGCACATTTAAAAAATGCTAATACTCCTTGTTCGACGAAGGTCAATTATATATATATATAAGGTGATATATATACAATTGCGGCAACTGTTCACTTGCCAGATATTGAGCAAGCCCTGAACAGTGCCGCTTACCATTATTATCGTTAAGCCGGCAATACGCATTAGCAAATGTGACAAGCTAATATGTATTATGGAAACTTTGTTTTACGCTGACGGCAATTCCCAGCACCCTGAAGCAGTAATGCTTACCTGATGAATAACTGAACGTTAAACTTGAGATAGTAATTTACAAATACATATAACGGAACTTCCGAAGTGCTTCAAATGAAAGTTACTTGTCGTTATTATTATATGTTGGAACGGGAGTGTACATTATATAATTCCATGAACATATTCCCGGTTCCCATTAACTATGCGTATATAACACCCTATTGCTGGTCGGTTATTCTCCAGTTCCAGCAGTCAAATCTCGTTATTACTGCAACGTTAAACAATGATAGCTAACAAGATAATCAGGGCAAAAGCTAAATCTGCAAAGCCACAATTGCCAAAAATGTGAGGGGTGATTTCCCTGAAAAGTCGCGGTCGCCATGGAGAAGTGAGTGGCCAGCAAACGCAAAAGAGGATACAATTTTACCGCGAAGCAAACAATGAGTAAATGTGAAAAAAGCAAGTTACCCATACCCATAAGCTCTGCAAGAAGTCATTGTCAGTCCAGTGCCTCGAAGCAAAAGTGGCGGTTAATGGTAAGAGCCGTCCAATCACTAACGAGATTTCACAAAAAGCACTTGTTGCGGCGAGCAGCAGAATTCATTTATTCGTAGGCAACGTTCTACAGTCATAGTCCAAGACTGTCTAAAATAAGCCGATCCTGCAAAAACACGAAACGCATGACGATAGAATATATACTCGTAGTGAGTTTCAAGCTTAGCGGCCTAGCGGTTGCGTCTAAAGTGGCTTTTCACCCGCTTTCTAAAATTTCAATCTGAGTTCAACACAGACAAATTTTAAGATCTGGCCTTTTCACATTTTTCATTACGGTTTTCGGTTTTAATTAGCTTTATTTTAGAAATATCTATACCGCCTTGCGCGTACGTGCCGGTCAACCAGACGTACTAAACCGTTGGCTATTTCAGAAGATGCACCTCTACCGAAATTTCCCGCTAGAATGCAAACATTTTGTCACCTCGCGATACCGTCACATCGTGAACTCACCAAACTCACAATAGAAATGCAGCGAGTATTTCGAGACATCTTTGGGAATATACGCCTGGAAGACGGTAATGTGCACTTACTTTTTTTTATTATGGAGAAAAACTTGAAACCTTTATTTAGGTATGCATCATATGTCAACGAGAGTCAGACTCGCAGAGGCCAATCAAACCAAAGGGTTCAACCGGTGTCGTTTGCTTCTCGATCCTCTCGAGAGTAACCAGCAAGTGATCTACGCCCTTCTAAGGGGAACACCTTTCGAGTAAAAATCAACCGCAAAAACGGTTGCTTTTACGATGGCTTTTACTCATAACGACATGCATCATTGTGGGTAAAAGCAATTTTCCGGGCAATGTTCAAACTCTGAATCTGCTGTCCAGTGATAAAGACTGAAAAAGAAATGTTATGTGAGTGAACTAGGGCGGAGACACCCACTTCTCTGTCATCAAAAGGTGCGTGACCGTATAATAAGTCACGCGTAATCTACCAGAATCATGAAAAATGATCGTTCTGAGCCAGTGTGATTGCTCGTCATGTTCATGAGCGTTCGCATTTTATTATTCTTCCGTAAGCTAAATTCCATCAGTCATCGAATTTGCGCAATTTAAGTTCAGTCAGTTAACAGGAGTGACCCATTCAATGGAGGTTCATTCAAAAGATTGTGCAAAAGTATTAGTATAATAGGAACTTATTTTTCTTTCACCATACTACTTCCAGAAAGATGAATGGATTATCAAAGAAGTTCATTTGCATGTTCGATGAACTTGTGCGACCAAGAAGAGCTAAAGTATTGAAAGAATGACCATGCGCCGTATGTGATGTTAAGATGACGAATCGATCCGTTTTAGCCAGTTCGTACGCAATTGATTGCTTGAAAATATAAGCATATTCTGTACAGCCCGAATCTGAACTAGTTGAATTATTCTCTATGATGCGGTATTGAACGAGTGTCCAGCAAATCTCGACATGACATTGCGGATTCGCTTACGCTTTACCTAGACGGTGCTCACATATTTAAAATGAAGCTGCGATTAATTATGGAAGCTTTAATCGCTGTCAATGGTTATTATATTGAATAAACAATACCATCAGGAACGCAATTAATTTTGCTTAGATAAAAGCAATGCATAAAAATTGCAGGTTGAGAGAGGTTATTCTTTACATGATGATCTCGTTCTACAAGAACTTATCACAGTTTGGAAAAAATAATTTCAAATCAGATTCAGGACTTCGTCTTTCATCATATATAACAATCTAATTTTTTCGTCTACCTTGTTATGCAATATTTGATTCATTAAATAAATGTAAATAAAATATTGGCCATAATGTTTGGCATAACTTAACAAAATGTTGTTCACAGATGTTTCTGGGTAAAATTATCTTCACATAAACTACAAGGTGAGCAGGATACTACACGACACCAGGGGAAATTTCGCAAAATACGACATCTTTAAAGATAACTTTCCGTTATGCATTATTATTATAATTCTTTGTCGTACAAACATTTAAAAACAAGAAAAAATAATACAGATAAATAAATCAAAATAACCAAGAAAACGTCAAATGTTAAATGAACGGTGTGATTTTTATATTATAAAACAAGTGCAACTAGTTGAACGTGTACTTGCGGAACATAGAACAAAAATAAATTACGGAAAAGGTTAGCTTTAAAAGCTTTAAACGTTATTTCTTATCCCCTTTGAAGTATCCTGAATGTACATATCTTCAGAAGTGCTTATTTGGATTGATCGGCTACACTATTTTATAAATGATTTTACATTAAAAAAAATATTCTTTTTTAATTTTGGAATAGAGCTGACCACCGCTTTTCTGGCAACTGAGCCATGCAGCCGAACTCTGTCAAAAAGTGTGTATAAAATGGGGTTAAGAAATACCTCTTTTCTAGAAAAGCGATCTTCTTTTTTTTTAAGAAAATTCGGGCAAACATTGATAACTAAGCCTCTTATTCTTTTACAAATTCCTTGCTATGTTAAGGCACAATTGCTTATTCACTACAAGATATTCCGAGACGCATGTTCAGCCTAGCAGGTCAACGGTACAGACCTTTACAACTGCCGAGTTTATCGCCAGTTCGTTAACATCTACTTTTTTAGGAATAACTACTTTATCCATCGCTGCTTTAACTTTACCATTTCCAATTAAATCTGTTCTTTTGCGGCAGTTTGGTAAAACCACAACTTATTTAGTAGGGCACGCTGAATTCAAGGTCCACTTCTGGACTAATTATTACACGACGCCGTTTTTGAGCTCTGTTGAACTAGAATTGTTAATCTAGAATCGATGCCACAAATATGAACGTGTTGAGTTCCACTAAACTGACACAAATAACTTCTTGCCTTTCATTTTTACTGCTACTTGATATTATGCGATAGCTTACTTAATCGAAACAGATCGCCTGATTTAGGATAGGTGCGTGGACACAATAGTGGATTAATCGAGGCAAGGCAGCAGAATTATTCAACAAACTGTACTGAGCTGCTAACACAGAGTGATCGAATCTTACGGTAACATAACAGAACGACGTAAACAATGCAGTCATGGGGAAATCGAACAAAGAAGACAATAAAGATAACCGCAGCGGGATAACAAGATTGGTACAATAAAGTGGATATAGTACAATCAGATACAGAGCTGGCTTTCGGTTAAGAAACAGCTAGCTAAAGTTAGTAAGCGTCTGGCGTATATATGGTTTAATGCGAGACAGAAATCTGAAAATAAGCTAATGATTTTGGATGTCCTTAGCCATGATAATGCGTAGATTTCATTCACCTTCGATGCTGTTCGTTACTAGAAAAGTCGAGTGATCGTAATTCAATGTCGATATTATTATTATAACAAATAAGGTAAATAAATGTAACCAATGTATTATTGTCTTCTGCATTTATTTCAGACGAAGTTGAGGTTCGAGAGTGCCTTCGGCCTATTTCCTTACGTTGGAAAGCTCTTTTACTAATCATCTTTTGTTTAATTTTGGTTTTCATTTCTGGTCTTATATTATGTCGGGTTCTGTGTGATAAAAGTTCGTGCTTTCGAGTTATTTCCCCGACGAAAGTTCATGATTTACGTGGAGGCCATGCGCCAGAAACAGACGAAAAGCCAGTCACGCGGAAAGCTCCTCTAGTATCATCAGACATCAGGCATTTATAATTCATACGCTGTGTTTTGAAGTCGCTTCAGGATTTTCTTTCAAGACAAAAAAATCTTGCTTTGTTTATTATAGCTTGTATAAGTCATGTTTTTCCCTGTTTTGGATTGGAATTGCATTGTTTGGAAAAATTGGAAAAAACACAGTTGAGACCATCTTGCAATATCGAAACATCCAAGCCACGGCCACAGTCACTTAAATAACGAATAAATCACCAGTCTCTTGCCAGAAGTACTTCATCGATAACCTATTTGATCTGAGCCACCTAAAAAATACAATAAGCAGAGGTTTTGCTGTGAAGCAATTTCTGATAAACGAAATTTTTGTTTTCGCAGTAATACTTCAGGTGTGCTACAATCATGCAAAGGTCTCCGAACATTTGAGCAAGTTAAACACAAACCTATTGGACCTGTTTATGGTCGTTTTGAAGATAACCTTGTTTTTGCGACCTGCTGACTTCGTTAAGCACCAGCGTTTTCGAAACACCTGATAATATCACTAATGTGTTTATACGTGTCTAGATACTGTTCAAGGGAACTATTTCATTCTCTCATCCGTATTACTGTGACCAGAAGAACAGTTGAATATTATTGGTAAGTGATGCGGAATAAATATGAACTCGGTATAAGGCATATAAGTAATACGATTGACAAGGTGAACTAAGATTGTACTCTAAAAATGTCGAGAGCATAATGAAGTATGATTGTCTTGATTTCAGTTGTATTATTTTCACACTTTTGTTCTTCTAACTATCAAATATCTGACTTTGCGAATATGTATCATCTTGCGCGAATGGTATCAAGCAGCTGCTGTGTATGATTACATATGAATTAACTAGATTAAGATATTTGTGACCTTAACAAATAAAAGAGCAATTAGTATGGATAACATACCCATCAAGTATTGCCGGCAACAGGAACCAGTGGACTTTGTGTAATTGATCCATTTATAGGTAGTTAGGCATGCAACTAATTATGTACCAGCTCTGATTATGTACTGCTCATTTAATATCTTCCATATTGTTTGTTCCTTGTTTTGATTTATTATTTTGTGATTTATTTACTTTTTACGACATGTTGTAACCTGTTATTTTGTTCCATTTTACCAATGAACAGTCTAATTCTCCGAGAATAAAACGTAATTCTAACAGGTTATTTAAATGAAACTAAGACAACGGGTATTATATATTTGATCAGAATAGCTTCGAAATGCATTACACAGCATTGAACGTTAAACTGCTTATCTTTTTTGTCATTCTTATTATATGATGTGATGACACGGCAGTGTGGCTCGCACATACAATCTGTGCGATTTCTAGGTAAAAAGCAAATAGTCCGAGCTAAAGTAACATCTCAGTAATTAAAACCCATTGGTATTGGTATATACTAAGAGAAGTAGATTAACAGGTTTAGTTCTAAACCTGAAAACCTAGCGGGTCGAGGGTGTTTGCATTCACGGTCATGGCCACATAACCTGGCCGTACTTAAAGGCGATGTTCACTCATTTACTAAAAGTTTCTCCTAAAAGAGAACAAACAGCCAAATTATCTTGCACTATTTTTACAGATTTGACCGTAACAAAAAACTAATGGTTTACTATTACAGTCACAGTTTAACCGCAGGTTTATCATGTTCAATGACTCGAAATTGGCGGGTCATCAATCTTTCGAATATAAATAAAGATGGCGACGCCCCAAAACTGAGCAAGGTTCGATTTGATTCGAGTATGGTCTAGTTACATTTGTGCACTGATTGGCAAGAAATTGACTCAACAAGAAATAATGATTAGTCTACATGTGTCCGTAATTAGTGGTTTCTGTTAATATACCTGTATGATCCATTCGGTCTTTACCTAGATTTGGCTCTCCAAGCTACCCCGGGTCAGCTGTTGTTTAGTCGTATGTAAACGCAACAACAATAGGTATTTTCATTGCTTTGCCTCTTCAATCAGTAGGAAATGTAAATATTCTGCTTACAGCTTCTATGTTCTACGTCCTGTAGGTTTAGATAATTGCTATTGACCCATAAAGGATGCTCAAAAATTGCCATCACGGTTTATGCGCTGGAATCTTTGTAACTGGTTGAAACACCGCTACTTCAAAGTATCTATAGGAAGATAATTACTACTGTTCTTTATTTTTGAATGTATTCGATCTTAATTATCATTTATTTTGTTTCGCGCCTATGTTTGCCGAAAAAAATGCTGGGCGATAATAAGTTACGAGCCAGTTATCGTCATAAAATGCGCGTATCTTCTTGCTATTAATTTATTCTTAACCATTCATGTTGCTTGTTCGTTCTCGAACTGATTATCGCCCAATTTTGAGAGCTTCGTAGTAATTACACTTATATAATATTGTCAAGCAAATAATCAGTGTTCTTTGTTACAACATTTCTTACATAGGTAAGAAAAACAATCACAATAGCATTATTGCGTTTTCTAGTTAGTTGCTTAAGCGATGTCAGTTGCTTAAGCGATGTCAATTGTTGTAGTTACAATGGGCGATCGGCACTCTCAATTGATACCAAATTCTTTTACAATAAAAGCTTGAGTTTCGAGTTCGTACATATTGAGGGTGCGTGGTGCAATCGTCGTTTTTTTCTCTTGAGTGTACTTAGACGATTTCGTGTGTTATGCAGTATGACTCCGAAGTCTCTGTTTCTTGAAACGTAGCCTCAGTTGCACATTGCTTGTTATATGCGTTTCAAGATTCAGAATGCACAATACGTCCATTCCTTAGGCTAGTCAATCAATTGTCTGGACGGATACATCGGATACAAAAAAATTAATGTATAACGCGATACGTTTTTATACGTCGATGAACACTAAGATGTTTCGTTTTTCTGCCTCATTTTAAATGCGGAAGTGTCTGCTTCGGTATTGATCTTAATCTAGATATCGTGCGCTCTGAGTTGACCTGACAAAATGTCGAACTCATCGCCGGATATTAGCCCTTCCCAGCGCGTCGTGGCTTCCAGTTCCGGAGCAGTGGCTACAGCAATATTCATGACACCACTCGACGTCGTAAAGGTTGGCCACTGCTATCTATATTTGTTAATAAGACTAGACAAATTGTCATTCCAATTGAAAATTGTATTCTTGCGGGAATCACCTTCGTACAGGTTCGTCTACAGAGCCAACAGAAAACATCCATCCGTTACCGCTGTTCACCTGCATGTAATCAACTGCTCATGAGTTGCGTTTGCCCTGGAACTGAAACAGAAACTCATCGACCATACTGGGTTCACTCGTTACAACAACAGCCTTGCCATCATCATCATCACAGTGCTGGTCAGCTCTACCAGACGCCATTTAAAGGTAACATTCTTAGCATTCTCTATCGTGGTTGTTTTGTCATCATATCCTCAGATATTTACAAGAATGCGATTCTCATCTTAGAACAAATACTTCTATCTATCTCAAACTTGAAGTCTCTGTTTTTGAGCAATTCAATAGTGCCGACCATATATACTGCCTCGCATAATTGTTGTCACTTGCAACACGGATGCCAAATAGAAACCTTTTTGTTTGGATTCCCACACAGAGATTATAACAGGCCAATATATGTCTGCTGTTTGTAGGAACGGCAGATGCATTGCTTGGAATAGCTAGACGTGAAGGTCTAGGCGCTTTGTGGTCCGGGCTTCCACCAACGTTAGTCATGGCGGTGCCTGCGACCGTGATATACTTTTCCACTTACGATACCGTCAAAAAAACTTTCATCCACAACCAGGTCAGCGTTCATTTATACTACTCAGGAAAATAAAAGCTTTCGAAAAGATCATTCTATCCATAACAATGAAAATAAAAATGTATAGACAGCCAAACGCAATTTAAGCTGCTATTAGAGTTTTAGTTTCTATATTCTAACCTCTACATGTATACATTTGTATCTGTTGTGTCAAAGACATTTCAGTCAACAATTGGAGTGGCAATTAGCTCAGGTGCAGTGGCACGTGTTGTTACTGCATCGTGTGTATCCCCACTTGAACTATTTCGAACTAAGTTACAGTCGCAAAAGATGACCTACGCCCAGTTGATTCGTGCAGTTCAAGAAATGGTGGCTGCAAGAGGCATTGGTTCTCTTTATCTTGGTAAAAATACTTGTTGTAATAATACTTAAATTGTTACATGCAGCAAGCCATGTGGTGACTGATTTCCCCTGAAATCTATAATCTACTGTTATTGAGACATTGGAGTTCGAGATTTCATTTCAGTAAAAATTAATTGTGTACAGACTTTTTCATTTTATAAATAATAGAATAATAAAAAAAGCTGCAAAAATTACGTTTTCAGTTATTCTTCTCTTAACTAAAAGGGAAATAATGTATTGCTCATGCATAACTTTGCAAGTATGTCTGCTAGTTTTCACCGAGGTAACTGGTATATACGTTTTGTTTACATACTTTGTTGTCGCGCGAACCTTTACGTCAACGCGATGACCAGGGCTGTCATCGACGCTGTTGCGTGACGTACCATTCAGCTGCATTTACTGGGCATCCTACGAATCTTTCAAGAAGAGTTTCGTTCCGAAGGATGAAAACCCGCAATTGCGTTTTTGTTTAGGCGCTGGCGCCATTTCAGGAACAGCTGCAGCAGTCGTTACATTGCCGTTTGATGTTGTCAAAACATACAGGTCAGTAAATTTTACTCTAAGTAGCTGTATTTCGACTTCTTATCCATGCAGTATATAGTGTTTTATGTCGGTTTATTCAAATAACTGATAAGATCTTTATTTGTAAACCAAGATATGAATCGAAACTACTTTGGGCATATTGCTATAATTTCGAAATGTTGGGGTTCATGGATATTTATCAATTAATATTTCAGGCAAATCGAACTTGGTGGACAGATGTCTCGGCCACCAGAATCAGGACTCCATGGGGCCGGTCCTTTTGCGATGTTGGCTGATATTTACCGAAAGCAGGGCACACGTGGCCTCTTTGCGGGTCTTGTACCTCGTATCGTAAAGACAGCTCCTGCATGTGCCATTATGATAAGCACATATGAAATGTTTAAGAACTTTTTCCTCTCTTAGGCTTTGCAGCAGAAGTGAAAAATGCTATGCGATATATGTGATTAGCTAATACCTAATAAACTGGTGATAAGTAATAGTAAGCTCACTAAACCATTCTTAAAGACTGTAGTTTTTGCGTAGGCTACGCAAAAAGACAAAGGTGATACCAGTCATTTGCTTGGCCTGAAACGTAACCTCTCTGAGAACGCGATTTTTGTGTATCAGAGCAGGAACAAGTATGTAAAATATTAGTAACCATCGAGATTTGGACAGTCACTGCTTTAACTAGCTTTTTTTTTTTAAATACATCGTCTTATTTCTGTGTTTCGTACAAAATAAAAAATGATAATTTCATTTTTCCCACTATTTAGATGGCTAGTATAATAATATAAGGACTGTTCTGACGATAAAAAACTTTTTATTCAAATGGATGAGCGAGAGTTTTCAAATTTTGTCGGTACACATTAACCCGCAGTCAATTTTTTGATTTTACAGTGCATTTTTATTAGGGAAAGCTTTCTAAAAATTCTAGGTTGGCTGTACACAATATGTTTACTCATACGATACTGGTGGTTGTTCTTCATCTAGTTCACAGCAAACTTCGAAACTGAAACACTTTTAGTAACGACTTTCAAATCGAAATCAACGTATTCAACGAATGCCCAGAAACGACATCACTCAGGTAGTTTAGAAAATAATGGCCGACCTTATATATTGGCTTCCATTTCGAATGGTTCGTTTACTAAAGGTAAAACATTGACTAGCATGCAAGAGCTTTGCTTTATTCTCCAAGGCTCTTGTCATCATTTCGTTCGAATTCTAAAGTCATAAGTTTTGCATGTATACCTCATGCTAAAAACGAGTATCTTAGACATTTCGTCATCGAGGCTAAAAAACCGCCAGAATAACTCGGGACAGCTGTGGCGTGTACGACAGGGGTTCAATAGGTAAAGGTAATTTTAAAAAATGAATTGCTAAATATAAAAATAACATTTTTGGAAAGAAAATGCACTCTTTAATTTAACTAGTATCGCCCAGAGTCACGTCCAGTTATCTTTTCACAGGAATTATTATTAGAAGAACCTTTGGCTACCATGCTCATACAGTACGCAAAAAAGATTTCCGTGGTCGAATAAGCAGCCTTCTGATATCAGAAGAAATTGGTATCCGTAAATTCTTTTTTACTCGAAACGTTTATTACTGGAGTTCAATCTCAAGGCAAAGTTTCGTGAACCAAACAATGATTAATAGAGCAAAAGAAGAGTAATGATATATGACGCTATCTGTAAGCCAAAAGAATCCAAATTCAATAAGCAAAAAAAAATCCAATATGTTTATGTTTACGGTAGCGGTAAATTTTAATAAATTCAACGAAGATATTATTCACAACTTGTTAATCCGTAGACATTCATGTAATAAGATATATATGATATGATTTGAATACGTTTTTACCTGCATGGAATAGAAGAAAAGGTTTTATTGATTATAACATTATTTGTTGGTCCGTCTATTTGGGATCAAGAACCTAGCCAAACAGAAGCTCGTTCAAACTGGAACCCAAACATTTTAATTATTTTCCTACCTTTAGCTAATATATAATGTTAAAATAGAATCCAAGATTACTAACTATTTGTGTTTTTCATTACTTAACGTTCAATATGTAGTATGTATATACAGTGAAGTATTATCAGAAAAGTAGTCTTCTAACCAGAACAGCTCATACAAGCTTCTTTGTTTGTAAGCGAACATACCATCGCCTCAGCGTTCTTGGCCTTGATCTTCGTCTTGTCTACAGTGAACTGAATCGCTTGAGCTGCAGGCTTCGTACGCAGGTAGTACATTCCGGTCTTGAGACCAAGTTTCCAGCCATAGAAGTGCATCGAGGTTAACTTGCCATAATTGGTTTCAGCTAGATGGACATTTAGTGATTGACTCTGATCGATGAAGGCTCCACGATCAGCAGCCATCTTGATGATATTTTTCTGTGGTATCTCCCATACGGTACGGTAGAGCAACTTAAGGTTTTTTGGAATGTCAAGCCTCTGGACTGACCCATTATAAGCAACCAATTCGTTGCGCATCGACTCATTCCAAAGTCCTAATTCTGTTAGATCTTTAAGTAGATGATGATTGACCACTTGAAACTCACCTGATAACACTCGACGTGAGTACGCGTTGCTCGTATATGGTTCTATGGATTCATTGTTGCCAAGAATCTGGGCGGTCGATGCAGTGGGCATAGGTGCCAATAGGAGGCTATTGCGCACACCATATTTAGCAATCTTAGCTTTTAGCGCGGCCCAGTCCCAAAGAGAACTGGGAGTGACGCCCCACATATCATATTGCAATATACCTTTAGATACAGGCGAACCCTCGTAAGTTTCATACGTGCCTTCCACCTTCGCAATATCACAGCTTGCTTCCAAAGCGCCGTAGTAGATAGTCTCAAAGATTAGTTTGTTAAGTTCCATTGCTTCGGGACTGTCAAACGGTAAACGCAATATGATGAAAGTGTCGGCAAGCCCTTGGACTCCAATTCCAATCGGTCGATGACGTTTATTGCTATGCTCTGCTTCTGGAACTGGATAGTAGTTAACATCGATAATCTTGTTGAGGTTTCGTGTCACAACTTTAGTAACCTCTTTGAGTTTTCCAAAGTCAAACTTGCCTTCATTGACAAAGCGATTGAGTGCGAGTGACGCAAGGTTGCAAACTGCGATTTCATCAGGAGAGGAATACTCGATTATTTCCGTACATAAATTAGAGCACTTGATTGTTCCAAGATTTTGCTGATTGCTCTTTTGGTTACAAGCATCTTTATATAAGATGTAAGGTGTGCCTGTTTCAATTTGACTTTCGAGAATGGCATACCAAAGTTTCTGGGCTTCTACCTGGCGCATGAAGCGGCCCTCGCGTTCATATTGCTCGTAGAGTTTTTCGAACTCCTTTCCCCAACAGTCGCTCAGCCCCGGACATTGATTGGAGCACATCAAAGACCACTGGCCATTTTCCTCGACTCGACGCATAAACAGGTCAGGTACCCAAAGGCCATAGAAAAGATCACGAGCTCTGTGTTCTTCAATACCAGTATTCTTGCGCAAATCGAGGAATTCAAAGATATCGGCATGCCATGGTTCCAAATAGATCGCAAAAGCACCCGGCCTCTTATTACCTCCCTGGTCAACATATCGCGCTGTGTTATTGTACACACGAAGCATTGGCACAATGCCATTCGATGTTCCGTTAGTGCCTGCTATATACGATCCGGCAGGTCGGATACAATGGATATTCATACCGACCCCGCCAGCAGACTTCGAAATAAGAGCACATTGACGAAGTGTGTCGTAGATTCCTGCGAAAGCCAACACACAAACATCGAGCAGTTAGGTCTAGCTTCCACGATTTTATACGCAAGCAGTGATCTTTTATATGATCGAATACGCGAATGTAGGTGGATTTGCGTGTCGGGAGGCGTCATAATATTTAAGTACTTTACTCTTTCCAAATGCTGACTAGAAGCGTTTGCTACTTATTAAAATACAGTTAATGTTGTTGTGTTTCACAGAAAGTGCGGTTTCACCTTCGATAGAATCATCTTTCATGGTAAGCAAAAAGCAGGAACTCAGCTGCGGCCTACAGGTGCCGGCATTGAACAACGTCGGGCTGGCGTGCGTGAACCACTTTTCACTCATCAGATTATATGTTTCTATGGCAGCGTCGATGTCAGTGCCGTGAATACCAACAGCTACACGCATGAGCATGTGTTGTGGTCGCTCAACCACTTTTCCATCAATTTTAAGCAGATATGAGCGCTCCAATGTACGAAAGCCGAAATAATTGTAGTTGAAATCACGATTGTAGACGATAGCAGCATCGAGTTCATCTTTATTTGCTATGACGATATCGTAGACTTCTTTTGAGATCATGGGCATTGGCTTGCCAGTTTTGCTCTGTGTCACAAAGCGCAGCATGCTTATAATCTCTGAAAACTGCTTCTTAGTCTCTTTATGAAGATTCGAAATTGCAATACGGGCCGCTAAAACCGCATAGTCCGGATGCTGGGTCGTCATTGTGGCTGCCGTTTCTGCTGCAAGATCGTCGAGCTCTTTGGTTGTAACCCCAGCATAAAGGCCTTGAATCACTTTTTGTGTGATTTGAGTCTGGAAAAGATTTAATAATAACAATAGATTACATTTGCTTGAGGGTTTTTTAATTTCTGCGTTTACCTTTCGTCCTTGGTCAACTCTCGGCTTTACATCCTTCCTGTCTGTTTAATGCTTCTATAAGATCCTACTTTAAATCGACATCTTTTACAAAGCTCACGCTATTATTTCATACATTATCTTTATAGCACGATACAAAAAAACTACTTTATTTTCAGTCAAGCAAGCCACTCGGCCTTCCAGGAAACACAGTAAAACCCAAGACTAGTGCATAAATATACGTATTATATCAAAGTAGCTTTGAATGCACATAGGTAGTCACATAAACTTACCGGATCAATAAAATCCATGTTTAATCCATAACACAATTTAGAGATCCTAGAAGTAATCTTGTCGAAGTGCACGGGCTCCTTGCGCCCACCTGAAAATAAAGTAGAGTTAATTAAATGAGAAGCCGGTCACTTTTCAATTACAAAATGACGCTTAAAAAACGTCGAAAACAAAATAAAGGTGCTTTTCTAGTTAGATACTATTTTTATCTACGTTTATGTGACAGACGTGAGCATAAATATATTGTACCATCGTAACTGTTATGCTTATTTGGCTATGTGTCCTTGTCATTGCTTACACTTAGTACACAAAAGTAATAATTGCATGTAGATTTCTATAAGGAGCATGTGTAACGCTATTTTTGTTTCATATGGCGAAGCTGGTCCGTCTTGAAATTGAGATTGGTGCATTAAGTAACACGTGATTGAGCAGTTGATTGAGTATTTATTGGACAAATTGCTAACTAAGCATGATTATACTTCACGATGATTACACTTTACCTGAGTATATTGTATTCTAGGGAATAGCGAACTAAGCTTCGCCTTTACTTGACATAAAATGATTAAGTTACCAATAAATAAGGAACTCGTATTTCTCTTTATAACGTGCAGGGCGTTCATTGTTGTTGACGTGTATCAGATGGGCACGGAGTACTAGAACGGGATGCATTGATCAAAGTGCAAACTGCTGGCTTTAACGCAAAAAAAACACCCTCAGAACTTATTTCCACTAGATACGAATTTGAAAGCAATCTAACAAAGATATAAATAGATGTAGCCTGTAACACAGGGTTGACCGTCCTCTTAAAGACAAAGCTGAACAGTGCGTGAGCTCTGTTGCTCGACGTGACCCCTTTAATCGCTTTCCTAACCTCGTACCCGCAGAAAATCCGCATCGAAAGGACAGCGATCATAAGAGGTTGGCGGCGATAGGTTCACCCTTCCGCAGTCAGAAGAGATGATAACCATCATCCCACAAGTCGGGCGGAGTATCACAACATCTGGCATTTAATGTTCTTTCTCAGTGCACCTTATCAAAACTTGCGGTTCTAAATTTCGGAATTCAAGGGCTGCTTGGAGAAGACGACCTGTCGAGCCTTCGCAAACATGTAGTTTCGTACAGCCAACATATCGAGGCGAGCAGTACTATTCCATTCATTCATGGCAGCATAACAGTCCTCGTACAAACCAGTTGCTTGTTCCCTAGGCTTAACCCGAATCCGTGCCAGATGCATAATATAGTGACGTTAAGTCCATACAGATTGTACGGTTATTCTAAATCACTTGCATTATTTTTAGAATAATTTGTAGAGCACAACTTTCTAGCTAAAACTTCATCAGTTTTTTCAGCCTTACTATTCATATCTAATAACGCATACAATTTTGCGCTAATATCTTTGTTTGTAGGCCCTAACAGTACCTTCTGTGCACTGAGAAGCTTATAGCAATAATAACTGATAATAATGATCAGTTTCCTTAATGAATCAATCCCAGGGTCGCTTTCTATGTGAAACGATGCTTCTACCCTGAAATTGGAGAGAAGTGAAAGTGTGCTCGCTGCCTTTGATTTGACCTTACAACTGACTGGTTAATTACTCTGTCAGAATTACAACTTAATGAGGTGGCTATTTTTTTCAATACTATTCCATATATTAGGTTACTGTCTTAACAAGTGTAATGTCGCTCTTCTTTGCTCCTATGGGTTCTGATTTGTTGTCTCTTTCGATATTTGCCCACGGACCTTTGCACCCTTTACGATATCCACATTGCACTTGTCGCCAAATAGGCTTGTACCAATTATATATTGGTAAATGTATTCGTTGGGTATACCTATTTATAATCAGATCAGAAAGCATACGAAAATGATTAAATATTGATTAGGTGATTAAAAAGTTGTTGAGACATGACTATTTTGTATGTACTCTCTGACTACTACAGTTGTCTTTACACTGAACTTTCTTGTAAGTATTAATACACACACTGATGTATATATATATATATATGAATTATTTTTTTTTGCGCATATTTTGGTATTAAATTACATTATTAAAAAAATTTATATTTTTCTCATCCTGTACAAAGTACCAAATGCATAAAAGCGTTTTCAAAAATATGATAATTTAGTAAAGTAAACGATGTCAGGCTGTCTGAATTTACAAATTCTGTAAAAAGGTCTGGCGGTGAACAAACGATATGGAGCCATAAACACGTCATAAATAATAGTAAATTACCACATAAAAAAAATAAGACTAGTTACAATTAGTTAAAGTTTAAAGACTTCTGTCTATTTACACGCCAAAAATCAATACTTTTAGTTGTTATGACAGCTTGTCATAATGGTCAGTAACACTAAATATGATTTATAAATCTGTAGACAAAGTCCTAGACATACTTACCACGCTTAAAGACGTACATTGCGGTGTCGGTCCCGCGAATCAAAAGCTCTATTGATGCGCGTGGACGGTTCTGACTTCTTTTGAAAGCAGTGCGATGATTATCAGGTATCTTAATAATAATACTCGTTTCCACGATATTTGGGCACAGATTGAAAAAATAAACTGCTTAGGATACACCCGATTAGGATTTGTGTCATGTATGCGCAGGATTGTCGACCGCCTCAACTGCCGCGCTGCTAACTTGTTTGAGCGTGGGTCGTCACAGAAAGGCCAGTGGTCTCTTTGGCGCCATCTCTCGCAGCCCGCCAACTAAAATGACAAAATCACGCATGCGCAACCACGATCATGAGAAAACCGAAGGGGAAAGCCCTCGCAGACGATAGATAGATGTCTGGTAGAGAGAGTCAGTATGAGAGGCACAAAAAGATGGGCTACCTCAAGAAGTGCTACAAGTAATACGTATGTACGCCAGCATTTATATGTATGCTCTGTATTGAAATCAGACTAGGCTGTTATTTCTAGCGAATCTACTCTTTTTTCTGCCTCTTTCCTCATCAAGCGGCCGCGTCATAAAAAAAGGTTCAATTTGACACTGCGTATACGCATGCTAAAATGCAGACGTAATGTATCTAGAAAACTTCAAAGGTACGTAATAGCATTAAAGAAGTTTAACATAGAAAATGAAGAAGCAAATTTTCTATCACAGTAAAATGTAAAAGGCAGTACATCTGAAGTAGTATATAACTCGGCAAATACCAGTAATAATTGCATTCGCAGCTATGCCCTGTTATCCCGATAATTCGGCTAATCTGTTGTCAACATGGGGACAATTAGTTCTATGTATTGTTGCACGGGAATATGTCGGTTGCGGTGGTTTGACTTTTGAACTTATTTGCAAAATGGTCATATGCACAGATATTTTTTAAAATCTGAAAAGGATTTCGGCTCATGTATGCCGCGAACATGTGTTCTATGAGCATAACTCACTGCCAGCTGAAGGAGCTCGAACATTCTTCTTATGTAATACCACCAATCTCAAGCGACAAATCATGTGATGCCTAAGAAGCGATTTTCTATTCTTTTTTCCTATTACTAATTTTATTGTTCAAAAACTTAGTTATTATGGAAATTTCAAAGCTATTAAAGACAGGAATATATCGCGCATACTGTCATATTTTTAGGAGCATTGAAGTTGATCCAATGAGGATTCATTGGAATTCTAGCATTTACCTAACTAGAATCTAGACAACAGCATCAATTTTAACCCATATATGTTATATATATATATATATATATATATATATATATATATATATATATATAGAGAGAGAGAGAGAGAGAGAGAGCTTCAATAAATGAGAAATGTAAGCTAAACAGTAAGCCACTGTTTTATATTATACCATACTTAAGAACTTAGATGTCATTAATAAAAGTCAGAGTTATGTTTTTTAGAACATCTATTGTTTACTTAGTTGCTTGCTTTATTACATTGAAAATTATAAATCCATGTTCTTGTTTATAATATTTATTAATGAAATCAAAACGATCATCTGGTTTCGGTAACGTTCTAGACGCTACTTTCTAATCGTATCACAAATCAAGCACATTTAACAGAACATACTTAACATAGGTTCTTGTTATCAACCCAATTAGCTTATCAACACAATTAGTCAACTCAAATTTAAAAGAAAACGCTCCTTATTGAGTTATTATCAGGTTATTGCATACATTTGTAACCCTGTAAACCGTTGCTAGCCGAACTTGGCCGAACAGATTCATGCGGCTTCTGTGCCGAAAGCGGGCGTAATCCGTGAATGATGATAACGTTTGATCCTTACAGCTGTCAACGCTAGTCACCAGGTAACCACAACAGATTCGGCTATTCACTTATTATTGCTGTGACGGTTATAGTTGATACAATAAATGTTACAAAACAATTGCACATCAGCGCAAGAAAACTGTTTTCTTTAGCATTACGCCCCTTGTCTTAATAAATCCAATTAACAGAGACGAAAGGCTCTATGCTTGCTTTATTCGAATTAACGTTCATTTTTAGTATTCTGCTCTAGAACCGTTTCTACGCTTTTAACGAATCAATTTTCTGTGATTTTGTTTTATATACGGTCATTTCGTTCTAATTGCAAAAATAATCTTAGCGTCCTCGTATTAAGTAATAACCGAGTATTTCAGCTTAGTGTAACATTCTACGCGAGATTTGCTATACGAATGTAAAACGAACCGTAAAAAAGTAAATGGTTGTTGGCATTCCCATTTATCAAGACGGATGCGTGACTAGTTAGGGCTATGGGAATGTGATACCCGCACATGATACCACAGAAGCGTTTCGATCGATTCATATAAGCACTGTTACCTTGGCGGCCACCGAGAACTTTTGTTAGTTTTTTATGTTATGTAAGCTGTCTCACGAAACAAGGTTAATAAACATTTTTGCGCTATATATATATATATATATTGCGACGCGTACCATTAATATATTAAGTCATAGGTATCTGTGTCGGTGTGGTGCAACTGGTTAAGTACAATTAGTAACAGCGAGGAGAAGGAATCAAATTGAACATAGAAAATGTGATCAACCAAGCCGCAGAAACACGATTTGTGGTAGAACACGTTCGACAGAGAATGTGGACGGTATTACGTTGATACCGAAGCTACCAATTCGCGAGTCCTGGGCGATGAGGACCTTGGAGATAGCAGGTGTCTACAGCTGGTCACATAAGCGTCTGTTGGGAACTGCTTCTGGGACTTTCAGCTCAGGTTCAAGGTCAGTCCTGGTTCGAATCCAATGACGAATGCAAGTCATCCTGGAATGAGTAAGACTCGTCTATTCGATTCGGGTTCCACGGAGAATACTACCTCGGAATAATATTGTGCACGTGCTTAAGGAGTTGATAAAAACCGGTACGCGTTCTCCCAAGAAAGGCGGTTTCCATTGAAGCGTGTCGAGTTGCCTTTTGAGTTCGAAGGCTCATAAGACATCGAAGAATCGCTTTTGTGATGACTTTGTGAACTACCTGCTTGTAACGTCGCCGCTTAAATTTATAGTCTTTGCGATCTAGCACGCGACTACCAAATGGACTGAGATACAGCTGAAGCCCAAACGTTGCCAGCGGCAGGCAGCATGCGCAAAAGGTGAAGCTTTTTCTGCAAAAATGTACGAAGCTGTTTCTGAGTTACAGATTCCAACGTTAACAGCAGCTAGCTTCGGTGCATTCGCATGAGCCTGGGTTGGATGCAAACCTTCTAATGATCCCCACCATGAAGTTGAATGATCTTGAGGTGGTCGATGTTAAGGGAATGCGCAGGCTCTCGTCACATCATCGTGAACCTTGACGTAGGGGAAGATGCTCCTGGGTGCCCAGTTGTCAACGCACTCGTGTACCGAGTCAAAGGGAACACCGCACTACTGCAGGCTGCGCGAGTTCAGCTTGAAGCAGCAACCATGTCTAGTTACTAAGAAGCCTGGTGGACATGCAAGCATTTAGAAAAACATGTAGCGGCTAGTAAAGCCGTTCCACAGGGGCCCTCGTATATATGCTCAGATCAAGAAAATGGTGTATCAGTGTAAAGGTTGCCGAAGTTCATAGTCTAGGGGCCTAAACGTGCGTACTCAAACGTCTGCTTCCATCCAAAAGAATCTACAGTTAGAAAAGCGATTGGTTGCAAAAGATGCGTAGGTGCAAGACCTAAATGGGGTAGTCCCAACAGGGAAAAAAGATTCGGTTTAAACCAAGAGAACGGATGCCGTAGTGTTCCAGGTAGAATACAATTTTATAAGTTCTTGCCAGTTCTCAAGCGGGTGTCATCGTAGGCCTGGAGGTTTGGCAGTTGAAAGAAAAACTCGCGCAGAGCACGGACTGTTCTAGACCGTATGTTGAGACACACGCGTGGGTAACTCAGCCACATTTTAGGCGCGTACCAATAATATATTTTATTAAAATTGATACAAGAGATAGATTTGCATATTTGATTATTTTCAATAAAGACAGTTTATTTAGGCAAATATATTGTTAACTTATATTTCCAGATAACATGAATCGACGTAATGAAACCGGCTAGTTCCAAAAAAATATCAAAACTAGAGTGACTTAGACTAGTGTCATCCTAATCCAACAAAATTAAAGTAGCTGTCCGAGTTTCACCATTTACTACAAACGACCATAATTACTGTTCAGTTTCCGGGTAAAGTTTGATAACCTATATTTGACAATTGCCTAAAGAAATCTACACCTACTCATGGAAAATGGCTTACTTTGTTTAGAGCGTAGTGTTGCTATGATTTGTTAAGTCTTTTGCTTTTATATTTGATGAAACGTAATACATTATTGTAGCAAGTAAAGGCAATGGACTTATTTTCATCCTTGGGAGAGGCGCGCAACATCTGTTTGAAACGAGGGGCAAGTGAACGCATTTCATTGACGAGATCGATTTCTCGAGCTGCTGCATCTGTCGCATCGTCAGCAAAGGCATCGATCAGCGCGTCAAGAGCCTCCGAGCATACACGAAGCTCTGCATCCTGACTGGCAACCTTAATCAGGAACCGTCCTACCCCATTAATAAGGAAAGGCTGTAGACGCGATAGCGTACCAACGATCCGTGTTATGTTAACACGTCCTGCCGCTGATGCGTCATTAGTTAATACAATCCTACATAACACCGTTAATTCTTCTTCTGTAAGCGCTGGAGCTAAGTTGTGGTTACCTGTACGGACTAATGCTTCAAATATTGCTCGGCATGCTGAACTTGCTGCTTCCAGAAGCTCTACGTCCTTGATCTGGTTTTTTGAATGATTTGAGAAGGCAATTGCTAGTATTTTTTTGCTTATCTCTTGAATATTTTCAATATCCCTGATTTGTGACATGTCGAAAGATTGTGCCAGGTTATCAATACAGAGCAAGGCTCGACAACGCACAGCGTGAACGTCTCTTTCGATCTGTCGCGCAGGCTTATATTCCCTAAACACGACGAGGATAGCTGTGTCAAGTGGGCCTATGTGGTTAAAGACAGCTGATAAGAGTTGGGTCGAGCTTATGGCCGTCTGTATTTCGGGGGATATCGACTCTCTGAACCCAGTTGTGCTAGAAGAATGTATACTCATTGCATCTTCATCATCTTCATCAATGTTATCCCACTTGTCTTCTTCATCATTCGTACAGCACAAATTTACTAGTAGTTCAAGTGCCGTCTTCTTGGCTTGCAGAGTTTCACAAACCTCAATCAGACTCGAATCGACTTCCTGTTCCATGTCTTGAATATTTTCGATATCTAGATCACGACCTTTCCTCACCTCTAGTAATCGGCTAACTGATAACATGACTGACGAAATCTGAGTTGCAATTTCATGCTCAAGAGCTGCCTTAGCAGAATCCACTAACAAAGGAAGGAAGGCTGTTGGAGCAGCGAGGTTATGCATAATTCCAGCAACTGTAGCTTTAAGTAATAAGTACGCTGGAGTTCTCGAAGGATTACGCAGTATGGATTCAAGGGTGCCCATTTCTGAAGCTGCCATTGACTCGAGCGCAGGATTGTCCTCAGTAACCGTTAGCAGGCACTGACCAGCTGCGACCGAAACCCTATCAACTCCCCCTCTTAGGAGCAAAAATAGGGCGCTAATAAATCTATCACAAGTAACAATTTCTACTGCCTGCTCACAGTTTTCACATAAGTTGGTTAATACATTCAAAAGATCTAACAAAATAGCGCTCTGGCGAGGTTCAAGACTACAAAATGACCCACTTCTTGTTAACTCCTGCAATACCAACGCTAGATGATCCAGCACGCTTGCTTGGACTAAGGCTCCACACACGTCAGGACCGGCCTGGCTCACCTCTCTGAGCCAACTGGCAATGCAGCAGCGAACCTGAACCGCATCATCAAGAAGGAGTGGCGCAGCTGCGCGTATCACTTCTGGACGAAGTGTTTCATGACGAGAAGTCATGTCATCAGCTAATCCCACTAGGACAGCTGCTGCTGACGCTCGTTTAACCACGACTGTTGATTTCAAACCTGACACGAGATTTTCAATTGAGTCACAGCTCGGTGCCGTCGTACGGCTTATAATTACACTACCAAGGACCGAAGTGCTCCCTTCATTCGACGTTTTATTGCCTACCGCCATCGGGTTGAAGCGATGTCGCCGCCTAACACGTTCTTTCCCCATCTGCAGGCAAACAGATCCACAGTCATGATTATCGTTTTTGTTTTTCAGAAATGTGCGGGCGGCTACCGTCCACATTACCCTGACACGAATGATAAGAATTGCAGGAAAGTGAAAGACGACCGTAGAACTAAGCTTAGGTCGGGTTGAACAGAACACAGCGAGGTTATATCGAATATAAACTATCTGGAAGATGATTTATGGTAAAGTCGCAGAGACATTAATTCTATTATGACCAAACAACTAGAAGATTCTTAATCTTCCGGTCTTCTAGTTATCACCTATTCATAAATTGGAATGAGGTTGATTGTTATCTTAACATTTCAGTCAATTGATTTTTCAGATTAAGTTTTAGTCAGACAGCTAGAGCCTGCACGAGTTCGTCTAAAATAATAAGAATTAATTTCGCTGCTTAATTTTGAATAAGGTACTTCATTTAACCTCTATCCGTAAACAAGAATTAGACTGACAGTAAAGGCACATAAATAATGACATTAGGATAAACTCTCTTTATTGAAAGACATCTACACCTTTTTTATCTCAAAAGGATAAAGACACATTTTACCACCAGATCGTTAAACGTTGAGATGATATTTCAATACAAGTGATCTACTTAGGTAGCTTTATTTAACTAAAAAGTTTCCGCAATATAGTAAAATTTATAATAATAAATAAGCTCCTTTAAGTAGATACTTCGGTTGCAAAATTACGGATAAAGCATCCAGGCATTATTCTTTATAAATCATTGATAAGCATTCAACAAAACAAAGTCTAGTATTTCAACACATACTTTCTTTCGTGACCCATGTTGTGAGTGCTTAGCCACACAACTTCAAAATATTGCTTTTAAACTTACTTTAATTGTTAGCACTTCTTTCAGGTTCCTCTTCGAGCCAGAAATTAAGTCAACCGGCGGTGCCGGATGCTGCCCCACAGCATAGAATACAACTTTGTTTACAACGGTACCAAACGTTGGGAATACGACCACGTGTTCTATTTGATTTCTAATGTTTTTAGAGGGAGCCACTGTTGAGTATCTCCTAACGCCATCTGGGCGACACAATGAGAAACACGAAGGTCGCTCCGAGGCGGGAACACGGCTGCTACTGTAGCAATGGTGGTGGCGGCTCTGTTGGATTCAACCAACGTATGTCGTGCCTTTCAAATAATGCAGGCTGAGTTAGAATATTCGATTTTTTTAAGACCTTTCCTTGGTCTTATATATCAGCTTTATCTGATAGATAAGCATGTTAATTATTGCAAAAAAACATTTTGTAGCGCATGTATATATCTGAATTCAAAGAATGGCTATGTACTTAGGTGCACTGTTCGAGGATCACTGTCAGGAACTTTTCCATCTTGCTGCAGGCTATGGGCAAAACAAAGCCCAAAGCCGATTCTGGAGACAGCATGTGCACTTGTGTGCATTTACAAATATTCATATAGTTAAATTTTCAATGGGAAAAACGTATAAAGCATGTTATATTGCATTTTATTCTCGGAACAACGTTTTTCACAGTTAACCGTCTCTAAGACATACGATAGTCATATTATAATTTTATATCAAGGTTATATTCCATTTTTAGATGCAATCTGATCCTTTCGTTCTAAGAAACTTCAATGAAAACTCCGAATATCTGCTAAAAAAAGCGTACAAATTTGTCTATTATATGTGATAAACAAAGCACATAATTGTATCATCCACAATTGTATCAAAGCATTGCCTACAAGAAGAGTGATCAGTGTGATTACTAAGTAAAACTGTGGCGAAATCGTCGGTCACTAATTCATATCGGACCAAATTTGTTATAATTGCTTGCAAAAAGTTCGCTTACGAGAACATTCCTAAGCCATTTTCCGTTTTGCTTTCTCCCGCGCTCACTGGCTGCCGGCCAGCATCAGACAGGCACTTAAGCAAGGGACGAAGGCTGCCCACAAAATTATGTTTTTTTACCATATGCCAGTGTAGAGCCGACCCTCTTTCTCTCGCTACATTTCTCCCCCTGAGGGCAAAAAAATAGCCGCAAAACGGCTCGGCTGACCAAAATACAGAGAATTTGCTAGTGGCAACGGTTTGTATTGGTTTCCTTTATTCAGAGGCTGGTTGGCAGTTCAAATGGTTTTCACGGCAAACCTCAAATTTTGTAATACTGTAGACAGACAAAAACGGAAAACAAGGAGAAATTACGGAACATCGCATATTCTTGTTATCTGAAAAGAGGAAATGGAAACTTGACTGGTTTTATTTTTAAACATGTATATGTTTCCCGTCATCAAATATATTAGTATGAGTTACGACGTTTATTGATTACGGTCCCAATATTTCGGTCATATGACGCCATTCGAATTCAATGAATGCCCGTACCGCGTTGCCGCAAGTTAAATTGCTCATATAGTAGCCATCAATGGAAAGGCAGCATTTGAATGTTCGCGCAGAGGGCATAGGATATAGCTACGAAGAACAAGCGATGTAAGATAAGTGACAACGCGGTTAGGAACTGATAGATCTAACAAAGGTCCCTTGCTCGCACGAGCTGGTGTTAACGAATAAATAAGTGATCATATCAGCTTTCGATGAGACGGTTTCTAATAAATAACAAATGTGAATTTCGTTTGTATGTTTTTTTTTTCTAGTTAGAGAGATGTAAAGCGCCTGCCTAGACCGGCACCGTGCGTGGGCTCGACGCTTCATAAATTCGTCAAGTTACCCTCGACATGACGAATTGCTGCCTTTGTCACAGATAGCTTTAAACATATAAATATATTACCAAATAAGTTATGACAAAAAAGGTATTGTTATGTGAGGGTGCTTTGATAATAAATAGTAAAAAGCAACGTTATCGATTGCCACAAGACAGCAGTTGTTCGAGGTAGACACAGTCGTAAAGTTGAACAGCCGAGAGCAATAGAAAAATGGGATTATACTTCGTAGAAGATTTTTTTAAAATTAACCGATAGTAGTCCAAACCAAACTGTGCCCTATGAGGCCAACAAAAATTAATTGGAAGGCATCAAGATTCTGATATGTTCCATCTAAGAGAACCCAGCCGGTAATTCATCTTCAGACAGTCACAGTCGATTCTCATCTTAAAATGTTAACATTGTTAGATATAACATTCGGCTGCACGCAAAAGAGTTTGCTTCTTCGTGTTCTTTGCCAAAGAACCTCAAACGGCCTCTCCACATATCGACCAATCCAATGGGATTTATGTACTAACTTCCCTCGCCCTCATCACACTCTTTTTTTCGAGGTTCTCCCTCTCCCGCTTGGAAGCCAATGGGGTGGCCGCGCAGACTCCATGAGTCATTAAAAGCCTATAGCTGAGACATGGGTATTTGGAAAAAGGGTATAAAGAACGACTTCAGCCTTAACCCTAGAATAAGAAAGAGAGAACACTCAAAAGGAGAATACCAGTCCTCATGCCGGAATGTTCCATCGCCAAGAACAACTTAGCTTGAGGGATGAACTTGAAAATTTGAGGGGTACTAAGCAGAAGGATAACCTTTTAAGCAATTTCTTGATTAACTAACGCCTCATCCGAATCAATCGACCTCTGCTGCTAAGTAAAGGTTACCTAGATATAGTAGGACTTAAGCACAAGAGTCTGACAGAGCGAACGACCTAAGGTCATAGTTGTTTATATTTTTGGGTGTATAGTAAATACCTGTTTTTCGAAGTGTTTTATTATAGCTATTGAACGTAAATAGCTACGCATTTATTAGCAAATTTTATTAGCGTAAAATTAGAGTAAGCCGCATCTATACGGCTTATTCTAATCCTGCTCACCGTAGCAGCGAGAGAAACACCTGGAAGGGGTCATGAAGACCCTAAACTCCAATCTGAGTCTCCATCTTAGGCCACTTGAGGTTTGTTACAACGCGGGATCACTTTTTAAAAGTCATGCCTTCTAATATAGCTTTTTTTTCTTTTTTTCGTTCTTTCTTTTTATAAAGATGCTCATAGACGAAACAGCTAAAGATATTCAAAAGTAGGACACGGTTCTGAGATATCCCTATGTTCTTAGAGATGTGTTTGCACGCAGTAGACTTAGGTGCGTCATCTAAGCAGTCTTGGCATCACGGTAATCGCAGCCTTATCAGAGTCTTTTTTAAGGTGGTCTAATATTGTCAGCATTTTTATATTTTGCTGTTGCAGTGCGTATGAAAGACAACATGTGGGCCTCTTGTCCTATTTTGGGCACGCTCTCAACGGCTACTGTAAAACACCTGTTAAATAATAGTTGACATTAGTTTCCTCCTTAGAGAAGCAAATCCGAATATATAAAAGCTCTAAAGGTAATTTTAGTTAGCCGTATTGGAACAACTGATCAGCTCTTTCAAAATGTCGCTTAGGCTGCCATAGATAAATATTCCATTACTGACACTAGGCGTTGCATCACAGTATTGGCGGCCCCTTCCAGCATGAAATCAACTGGGTTTACGCCCGAATCCCTGAGTTTAGTAAGCAAGCACTTTACTAATACACGCTGATGGGAACAGCTCAAATGGTAAAAGCACTACAACCAATTATCAGCTTTCTTTTTTCCTATTACACCTACGCGTACCTGAAATTATTATCTAAGCATCTATTTTATGCTTAGGGATGAATTCGTTTTACTACTCGCTTAAATTACATTAACGGAAATCCATAGTTATTCTTGTTTATAGCTGCGTAATTGATTGTTGGTTTCAGTCGTCATACGAAGCAAGCAGAGGAAATGGATAGATTTTATTCATTTATGAATCAAATTCCCTTAAATACAGTTTGTAACTGTATTCTGTGTCGACCATTGTAATAAATCGTGAGCAATTTGTAGAAGCAGCATTGAATCGACTAATCGTGATCTCATCTATAAGTGAGGCAGCCAGGAAGTGCGTCTCTTAAAGCAAAAATTCTGATGCCCGAGCGAACAGCCGCATTCGTGAGTTAAAAGCTAGCTTTCGTTTCCCCCGGCTATTTTTCATAAGTCTGAGCGAGAAATATGACCGACCCCTTGTCTCGATCTAACTGCCTGTTCCCATCTCCGGTGCGACCACATAGCAGCTACTTTAAGAGAACCAGATAATAGTACTAATAATAATAATAATAATAATAATAGAAGAAGCGCTAGACCTATCTTCGAGGTAACACGCGCGTACACCTAGAAGTCAACGCCAATTTCGTTTCTTCGCATCATATATCATAGTTCAAATTTACTTTACATTAATACCTGTTGCTACTATTAGTAGTCGTGATAACAAACGATAGACGATATGCAAACATTAAGTGAATTATTCTAAGAATAAGTGCTTCTCCTAACCTGACTAGATTAACGATCAAACCAGATATGTTACCATTATTAACAGGACTTGGAGGTATATGTCAACCATACATCGCAGTCAATCTGAATTATTTCGAAAATAAACATCTGCGGTTTGTAGTTGAAGCTCAATACCGAAACAGCGACTCGGCCCTACAGTATATAGCAAGCACACAGCAAATAGGTAAAAAACATTCGTTTTCGTATATAGGATGAGGACAAATATTAATCTTTGGCGTAAGCTATATATATATATCATTGATAAAATTTGCAAGATTAACATTATCTGGATAATGCAGAATATTACTTTTCAATATATAGAACATTTCGTTCATTGTTTGTTGCGATCTGATATTGTAATGAATTAGCTTTACGTTGCTTTTTGGGTTCTTACATTATCACTTGGCGTATTTGATTAGTTAGCTAACAAAGTTCGCAGCATTTTCAGCAGCACGCTTCTAGAAAGCTCATACTTTAAATAAATGTCTTTTATTCTGCACAAAAATGTGGACCAATGTATATTGACTTCCGAAAAAACACTGACCGGGTTCGAGACAAGTATTTTTTATATTTAAACATAATATCACTGAACAAAATATGGATAATTTTCATCGATAACCACTTGCTATTTTTTCTGATAACACCATAACCCCATTATAGTAGATCTTCTGCAATTTCTCAGCAAAAGATTAGGTCAAGTGATTTTTGTACCCCTTTATTCATACTTAACTAGAAACGCTAAGGTGACTCTGCAGAGATCGAAACGGATCATAATTCGATGATGTAAGATCCGGGCCATATGGTCGACGCATGAACATTTTACGTTCAAGTTCG